ATGGTTTGGTGAGCAATATGTGCTTGGGCTTTTTATGGGCTCTTGATGGGCCTCGTTTAACTTCCAACTACTGTCCAATTTGCCTAATAAAATGAAGGGTAAATTACACTAACCTCCCTTAAGGTTTAAAGAAAATACAATTAGCTTTACAATTTTGATATAATTACACTAACTTCTCTTTTAGTATGGTTAAAGCGATTGAAACTAATGTCAATGGTGAGTAGACTTCGAAATAAATAAAGACAAATATACATTTCAGTAGGAAAGATATGATAACATCATTTTTTCATTCATATGACTAACGATTTATTGCGGAAAAAAGGCCCAAGTGTTATGTAAATTAAAACCTTGAGGGAGGCAATTGTAATTATATCAAAAGTGTGGGGCTAATTATATTTTCCTCAAACCTCAAGGAGGTCAGTGTAATTTATCCTAAAATAAAACACTAATGCCCTATTTAGGTCTCGTTTGGCAAGAGGCTATTTTAGCCAAAAAGCCAAAAAGTTATTAAAAAAGTCAAAAAGCCAACAACTCATATCAAAAAGTCAAAGATTCCCTTTTCTCTCTACTTTTTGCACATCTTTTCGTAAAAAGTCAAAAAGTCATCCCAAACATACTAATTTTTTTTACATCACATTTTAGCCAAATAGCTAAAAAGTTACTAAATTAGCCTGTTCCCAAACGAGGCCAACATTTGTATTTATATTTTTTTGGGAATTACAACAACAACAACAATAACAAACAAACAAAAAAAAACACTCAGGTTTTACCTTGTTAACAAATCAAACTCTAAAATTTTAATTATTGCAATTTAGACCCTCAACTTTTAAAATTGTATCAATTATGACCATCCGTTTATAGCTGTTAGTTATAACTAATAGAGAATGGGTAATTTACACAATTTAATCACTGTTTTTCCCTTCATTACAATTGACAATCACCCCTTATCCTTACCGTAATCCATCACCACCCTTCTTCTTCCCCAACTCACTGCCACCGCTTTATCCATTTTCCCCATCCATTGTTACTCCTTTCCTTCCCTAGTTTATAACCACCACCGCCATCCAACATCACCAACAAAAAGTGGTTAAATTGTTTAAATTATTCCTATTTTGTTAGTTATAAATGACAAATGGTTAGAATCTATGAAACATGCCTGTAGGGATAGATACTGGTACGTGTACGTTATAGGTATACCAATGTGGCACAATCTTAAAATACAACTAGGATACGTCAATAAATTTTTAATTTTTTAAAAGTTTTTTATAATGCTTTATGAAAATCTTTCGATTAAAGCACTTGCAAATCTTTCACTTCAAATATATAACATATAGAATAACCTATGTTGCACGGACATGGACACGTGACACAACACAAATACGCTAACACGTTAATTTTCAAAAAATGCCGGACACGACATGCTAAGGACACGTTAAAAATATATTTATTTATTTATATAATATTCGTCACATATATAAATATCTTATTTAAAGTTATAAAAAAATAATTTAACACTAATTAAAAATTTAAACATTCAATTGCAAACACCCAAAAATGAACATTTAGCAAAAATATAACACTACAAGAATTTTCACTTTTGGCGACTAAATTTTTAGTCGCCAGAAGTTAATTTTTAGTTGCCAAAGGGTTTCAGCGAGTAAATTATTTGGTCGCAGAAGTAGTCGTGGAAGAATTGTCAGTAAAGGTAATTAGCGACTATAGTCGCCAAATGTATTCAATTTTTACTACCTTTTTAGTCGCCAAAAAGTTGGACATAAAATTAAATTAGTACATCTTCGGCGACCAAATTTTTAGTCACCCAAAGTCCCACATTTTTAGCTACTAGAATTTTAGTCGGCAAAGAGATCTTGTTTTGGCTACTAAATATTTGGTCGCCTAAAGTCCCACATTTTTGGCTACTAAAGTTTTAGTCGGCAAAAGTGTTTTTATTCTTTAGCTTTTGTTTTTAGCTACGAAGTATTTTAGTCGCCAAATGTTTGATTTTCCTTTGGCTACAAAACTTATAGTCAACAAATGTCTTTTTTTTTTTTTTTTTGCTACAAAATTTTTAGTTGCCAAATGTCTATTTTTGGCAAAATTTATGAGAAGAATGATACAAAACATGAGCAAATAATTGACCAAACTGATGAGAATACATATTAATTATATTTAAACTGATGAAAATACATACACAGATAATCTCAATCTCAGAACACAAAAAACTGATGAGAATACACAGAGAACATATAAACAAAGAATACATAAAACACAGAATACACAGATAATCTGATTGAGATTATATTTAAATTGATGAGAATACATACACAGATATCAGTTTAGATTACCCAATCTCAAAATACACATTAATTATATTTAAACTGAATCTTCGCCACTACATCTAAACTGATTACCCAATCACAGATTACCCATTCAGTTTAATCAATTTAAATGTGAACTCATTCGTGTGTTGCTAGGCTTAGTGTAAACCCAATCTGTAAACTGAAGATTCAGTTTACAGTTTAACTGTAAACCCCATATTCAGTTTAAATGTAAACTCAATCTCAAAATACATACACAGATAATCTCAATCTCATATTAATAATGACGAGTAGAATACATGAGAGAGAAAATTTCAATGAAAATAATCAGAATACATGAGATTAGATAGACAATCAATGGATTAAGGTTTTGAAACTAATGAGAGAGAAAAGAAAAATAGGGGAAAAGGTATCAAACCCTAAAATCAAACTCATTTATAACATGAAACCCATAAAACTCTAGTAATGAAACCACTTCAAACAAACCCATTTTAGAAATTAAGAAAAAATTAACCGAAATGGGTAGAATAAAAACCCTAGAGCAAGAGTTCACAGTTGGGGAAATAGAAGAAAGGGTAGAGAGAGAGAGAGAGAGAGAGAGAGAGAGAGAGATAGAGACAGAGAGCGACAGAGCAAAAGAACGAAAGGGAGCGAACTTGTTAGCGGCGGTGGTTGTGGTGATTTACGGCGTACAGGGAACAATGATGTTGAGGTTGCGAGGTCGTGAGGTTTGCTGGTGATTTGCGCGGCAGAATGACAAAGCAAGAGATGTTTTGTGGCTATGTGTATACAAAGAGAGGCAAAATGTGTGAGATAGGTGCGAAAATAAATCTAAAACATTTAGAACTTTAGCGACTAATGTTTTTGTTAGTCACCAGAACTGAATCATTGGCAACCAAACTTGTGTGGTCGCTAAAAGGTTTTGAATATCATATGCTGCCAATTGGCAACTAAAGATTATTTTGTCAGGAAAAGGTATAAGACACCGACTAAAAAACAATTTAGTAGCCTAAAATATATACTGGCTAAATGTTTTTTAGTAGCCTATGATGAAATATTTAGTGACAAAAATATTGTTTGGTCGCCAATAAGCTATATTTCTCGATTAAAAAATTTAACAACTATATTATTTGGCAACCAAAAATTGTTTTCGTCGGCAATTGTTCTATAATTAGAGACTAAATAATAATTTAGTAGCCAATTGTGTTATTATTAGCGACTAAATTTATGTTAGTCGCCGATAAGCAATATACACCGACTAAAAAACTATAGTAGCTAAATCTTTTTATTTTTGCCGACTAATAAAATATTTGGTCACTAATTCCACCACTTTTGGCGACGAAAAATTGTTTAGTCGCCAAATTTAGTCGCCAAAAGTATCATTTCCTGTATTGTAAATAATTTACAAAAAGATGAAACATTACAAATATAGAGAACAAATTTTTTTCTTTTTTTTTACACACATATATGTTGTGTGTAGAAAAATGTACATATGCTTCTGCATTAAACAACAAATTTGTACATATTTTATTTTATTTTTGGTTCTTATATATGGGATATTACTCCATATTAGGAAAATTTGTTTAATATTTATGCACGTGATATTTCAATTAATGAAATTGGACAAAAGAAAAATAAATGAAACCGATCTTGTCTTTTATTCAACCGTCAACTAAGTACTTTATGAGTGTTTATAAGGGTTTGGTTTGTTGGGTTGATTTATTCAGCTGCATGCATGAGTGTTTATGTCTTGCTGATCGGTTGATATGCTCAGTAATGGCATCCGGTCTGTTTATGTGATCTTCTGGTATGCAAATGGATGAAGTTTCTGCATTATGTGTAAGTTTTGCCTGCTCTGTTGTGAAGTTTTTGGTCTGCTATGCCCCTCTGCTATTGCTCTGAGGGTGCACACTCATGATCTTTTGGCTGCCATACTATGCTGTTTCTCTTTGTTGGTCTCTCACCAACTAGGAGGTTGGAACTTTTTAGCTCCAAACTCCTCTTTATTGATGTAATGTATCGTACTCTGTATGTGTTTATCATCAATAAAGTATTTTTTTTTACCGATCAAAAAAAAAAACAGTACTTTATATTGAATAATTAACTATTTGCGACATGTTACACAAATCAGGCTTCTAACTTGATTTTGAGGTCTAGTTCCAATATATATATATATATATGTATATTTGATTTTGAGGCTCATCAACATTTTTAGCACATTTTGATGATTTCCATTCACTTACCCAAAAAAAAAAAAAAAAAAAAAAAAAAAAAAATGCTAAAAAGATGAATTCCATTTGAAGGGCTAGTGTTTCACTAAGATTTTATGGCAACAATTTTTATTTATTTTTAAAATTTTTACAATGGATACGACAAAAATAGGGGACGGGAAAACTATATTGCACAGTAATATGACATTAAAAAAAAATAAGAGAGAAAAATTATATCATTTGGAATTAGTTTAAAAACCAAGTTTTATTATTATTTTTTTTTCTTTTTAATTAACACTCATTTTTACAACTTTTTAGGAGTGTTAGTTTTTTAATTATTTTTTACAGCGAAAGTTAAAAATTAGAAACTAGATACATTCAAGCTTACAAAAGTTATGTAAGGCATTTTTTTTTTTCAGTAATGTCAAATACTAAGAAAAATGCCCACAAAAATATTAAAGAATTTAAAATATGTTAATCACATTCATTGCATTGAAAGATACACCAAATCTAAATCTACATTTCAAATTCAGACTCCCAACACATTTTTAAATAGTTTGTTTTTTTTTGGGTGTGTACATAACCTCTTTATTCAGACTAGGTCATGCAAAATGACAAGGCTAAAAACAAGATAGCATGCAGAGTTTACCAGGTGCAGTATATGTCTATTATTGACTACAACACTACTGCATAGCTTAAATTTGAGTTTGGCCCGAATGGTTCAAAATTCATTTTCTCGGTCTTCCAGTGAGAAGGCTGATAGCCGCGGTAGATAAACATTTCACTCGGTTGTCCGAGTGGGGCCGGTCGCCCGGTAATCCGACCGAACAACTGGCGAGAAGGCTGATAGCCGCGATCGATAAGGTGACAACCGCGGTAGACAAGTGTTTCACCCAGTTGTCGTGGTAATCGTCCAACAGTCATCCGATAAACACAATTTTGGGCCATTTGAACCCCTCTCTTTTCGAACTACAAGGCATTTTTCTATTGACAATGAAACTTCACCAAAATCTCTATCTACCAAACAGTCCTCCAAAAAAATAAATAAATATATCCACTCATTACAAGTAGTTTAATTCAAAGGAATACCTTTTAACATCCGAAACTCCAATATTCCTTCCTCCTTTTATTGTATGAACTCACTCACTCTCCAAAAACTAATTCTTCCCATTGAAACCCCCAAACACTACCTTTCACTGGTGTAGATGCCATATATACACACAAGGAAGAGAGAGAGAGAGAGAGAGAGAGGCATTTTGGTGATTCCAATGTAACTGCAAGGGTAAAGTAGGAATTTTGGATTTGATCAACATAGGGTAGAGCCTTCCTCAATTATTCTAAGCATGTGGTGAACTGCACCTGCAATGTCATCTGCTGAAGTGAGTTGGCATCCTTCTTCCACCTACAATTAGAATTTTCAAATTTTAGCCCAAAACACCCCCACTTTGAATTTATTTTTTGCTAAAATTGTTTATAATTACTCAAACAGCTATTGGAAACAAACATCCTTTTCTGTTCAACAATATACCCTATTTATAATCATTGAAGAGCATATATATCTATGAAATGTCTACAATGCCCTTGCAATATATCTTGTGTAAGATTTAGATAAAAGAAATATATGTGACATGTGCATAGTGTTGTTTCTAAAAACTTTTACTTTGGTGTGAGAAACAAAATGAAATTGTGCTACATATTCTAAAATTGTTTGGAAAAAAAAAAATTACAAGTGTAAGGATTTTAACTTCTGATAATTGGAAGGGAAAAAAACAAGAAACTCCACACTACACATCTTTATTAAGTACTCTAGTTTTCATATTGTTAATCATTTGTACAATAACTAAAAAAGCTTGGCTCATAATGGCAGTTTCACCCATATTTTGCAATTCGTGTCTTGATAACTATATTAATGTGCAAACACATTGTGTTACAACACATCTTTCTCGATATGTATTTTGACAACTGTATTAATATACATGTGTACACATAATCTAATATAGCTATCCTATTACATGAAATACACAATTCACTTAGTGTCAACTTATGTCACACATTTTTTAATACCCAACTTGCCCCCATATAACTATTTAATTTTTTTATTTCAAATTTTTTTTTTCTATCTACATTCAAAATTCTTTTTCTAGATGACACTTACAATTGTCTTATGATTCTACACAAGCATTGCGTGTGCTCAGCTTCTAATATATATATATATATATGTATATTGCATGAAATACCCAAATGTAAACTGCTAGTACATGTTTACTTACATACATACCTTAGCACTGATGGAGTAGAGAACCAATGGGTCCAAGGTGGTCACATTGAGGTGAAGGATTGTGAGGTACATTGTCTGAAAAGCTGCCACCATTTTGGATAGCTGGCTAATGCTTTTTCTCGAGAGGATTTTAAGGTTTGCATGTGTTTCAATCAAATTCACCTCAATATCTGCCACTGACCCCTCGCTCTTTGATGCACACTTGTTTTGGAACTGAGACCATGTGTACTGTGGGTATGCAAAAAATTGCCCAAATGGGACCGTCAAGAATTCAGCAGTGGCTGCAGCTGTGGCTGTGTTCGATGTTGCAGTTCCTCCTTGTTGTAGTAATTGGAGTTTTTGAGCTTCTAGGGATTGTAGGAGATGCTCAAGTTCCTTCACATATTCAATAGCACCACCCACTATAGAAGCTTGATCACCCTACACACAACAAATTTATTGGATTAATTAGGGTTTTTTTTTTTTTGGATCTTAATTCAATGTAATTTGATGAATCCTAGTTCACCTCAAAAAAATTTAGAGTTTGAATATTATAATTTTAAATTTTGATTTAGGTCTGAAAAATTTGTCAATTTGAATTAAATTGGTTTGCACCTGAGTAGGGGATTTCACAGTCCAAGTAACCCAAATTATATTGTTAATATATGGAAAATGTTTGAGGGCCACAATTTGCCAAAACGACGTCGTTTTGGCAGTTTTGAGCCATTGTCGTTTTGGCAGTTTTGAGTCATTGTGGCCACAAAAATTGTGGCCCTCTAGCATTGTTGTTAATATATATACACACAACTAATTATTTTGCCACTGTTAGATTAAAAAGTACTTTTAATGTATTCAACTCTGTTGCTTGAAATTTTGTGAGATATTTCTTATTTTTTAAAAAATACTAATACAATGATTTAGGATAATTCAACACTCAACTCAGGATAAATTTTTTGTGCTGAATTCATACAACTCGAGTCTAACCTAAAACCACTTGAGATAAACTCGAGCTTGGGCTAGGGCTTGAGCTTGGACAAGCCAAGTCAAGCTCTGGCAGGGTTGCACTTGGGCAAATCCCACTACACTTCATATTGAGTTTGGATAGACTGTCATCCCACAAAACCAGCCTGAATTGCAGCCCTAATTTAGATTTATTATTCGAGATGATGATGATGATGATGATGATGATGATGGCGAAGAATTAGTCGACAGACTCTACACCAAGAAACCTGCATTAAGGAGAACCACTAGAATTTAAACACAAGAAAAAATTCTCCATTTTTTTTTCTCTTGAAATGATTTTTTGTTTTTTTTTTTTTTTTTTTTTTTTGGTGTGTTTTTCAGCTTGATCATCATTTCTTACACTGGCTTTTAAATTGACAAACAAATAAAGCATCCAAAGCTAAAAGGCTTTGACAAATAAAATAGAATAATAGTTTATAAATGTAAAATTAAGTTGTAAATTACAAACAAATGTCACAAGACCTTTGTTTGATACCAACAACAGATGTTTCTTTTTGTATAATCAGTAAATAAATTAGAGATAGGCATGTATTCAAAAATGCAATCATGCTATGCTCTATATGATTGAGATACATAACTAAAAAACAAAATTTTCAAAAGGATGTGTCGTTGAATCTTTGATTGTGATGCACAAGCACAACCTAGAAAAGAGCAATGAAAAGCACCCTATATCAACTAGGTGCCCATTCTAGACAAGTTAGTTGCTGAGTGGAGCCTGTTTTTGTTTTCGTTTATAAGTTTTGAAAAAATAAAATAAAAAATTTTGTTTAATACACTGTTTTTGAGAAATTTTTCTGGGGGAAAAAAAAAAACCTCATTTGCACCAAAAAGTTATTCGAATTTTTGAAAATTATTTCCACACTTAAATGAAAACTTTTAAGTTTTCAAACTTTGCATTGTTTTTGTTTTGAAAACACAAAAAACAAAAATGAAATCGAATGATACCACCACAGTCTAATTCATACAAGTTGTATTACCAAATTTTCCAAAGAACAAGATGCCTGCACTTAAATCACTTCACAGTATATATATATATATATATATATTAGAAGCTGAGCACAAGCCATGCGTGTGCAAAAAGTGTATAGAGATCCAAAAAACAAATTTGAAAAAAATCAAATTTTAGAATAAAAAAGTTAAGCAGTTACATTTGGGCAATTTTCAGACATGAGAAAATACGTGACATAAGTGTTCACGTCAAGTGAGTCGTGTGTTTTTTTAATAACAATTTATAGATATAGATATGTGATGACATCGAAACAAACCCTCTGGACGTAAGATTCCGGCATGAGGGACCGCAACACAGCAAGGTGCTCATTCATCTGTTTCCGGCGGTTCCGCTCCACCGCAATGTGGATCATCCTTTGTGTCTCAGCATCCTCTTTATTCTTGCAAACTTTAGGTCTCCTCCTCCTCTTCTTCCGCCCTTGCACCGCCGCACTCTGCCGCTTGTCAGCTGCTTCTGGCCCAGCCAGGCGGCAGCGGCGGTGCTTCATGGAAGAGCTGCTGTCAGAAGCACCACCGAGTTCTTGAGATTTCAGACAAGTTTCTGGCAAGAAAGTAGTCTCCGGAGAGTCATTGCAGATATATGGGGTTGCAGAGATAGTGTCATAGACTATGAAGTTTAAGAGTTCATTGGTAGAGAGTGCTTGTAAAGCCATTCCTATTTTGTGTTGTGATTTCTATGTAATTCTACCAGTATTTCAAAGTTTTGAGTCATAGCCCAAATGCTGTTTGACTTGCCCTAATTTATAGACCTAACCTATTTTACAGCATAACCCATTTCTTGAGGGGGAGAGAGAAATCTAGAGGGTTAAAGCAAAAGTCTACTTGCATAGAAATGAGATAAAAAATAACAATTATACATAACTAGAAAATTTATTTTAACAAAGTGAAATTACATCAATGGGTCACATTTATTCAAAGTGTGATCCACATCACACTCAATTTTAAATCTATGCTTAATTTTTGAAATATAAATTCTAAGTACATAGTACTTTTCTTACAAAAAAAAAATATTGAATAGTATGAATCTTAATAAGTACTGAAGTCCTCATCATTCGACTTTAGATTTTGGAATAACAGGTAATTTAATATTGTGATTTACAATTCTTGTTTATAACAATTTTTTCTCATTTTTTCATGACTCACCCCAAAATGTTTTAACAAAAAATCTCACACAAAAGAGAGATAAAAGTATCTCACATATGTGGACCTCACACGTAAACCTCCCCTCATGTCTACTCTGAAATTTTTTATGTTCTATTTTGTAAAAGTAACCCAACACAAGTGAAACTCAAGGAAGAGTTACAAGGATAGCAATGAAATAAAAGTAAGGCTTAGTTTGGGAAGACTAAATAAGTGCACTTTTTGACTTTTTATGAAATATGGGTTGGGTTTGGGTTGGGTTTGAACTTATGTGTTAGAGAGGTGATGTGACTTAAGCAAAATGATGTGACTTAAATAGGATAGTGACTTTTTAACTTTTTGTCTTTTTTCAATCATGCCAAACTTGGCCTAAATTTAAAAACGTAAAAATTAATCACAAAATATATATGAATGAATAAAATTTTCTAGAAATAAATCCCATTATTCGTGTGTATCCTACCTTTTATATTATATATAAATTTTGTGTTTATAGCATAACTGATAAAAGAATGAATAATGATTTGTCCCCCTAATTTCCTCCCCCCGAATCCCCCTAATTTCAGAAGAGAGAGAGAGAGAGGGAAGAGGAGGAGCTCGATCGTCGTCCTCTGCCCGATCGTCGTGTCCGGTAGCCCTCGCCTCTGTCCGATCGTCGTCTCCGGCAGCCCCCGCCTCCGTCTCGCCTCCGCCTCCGCCTCTTGCTCCCCGTGGTTATGGCTCCCTCCAGTCCTCCTCCTTCTTCCTCCTCCTCCTCTTGCCTTCTCTTCTCTTCTCTTCTCCTTCTTCCTTCTTCCTTCTTCCTCTCCCTCGTTTCTGATTGAACCAGGAAAAAAAAAAAAATGCAGGCTTTGTTCGAGCGACGTAACATTACCGATAAAAGAATATGGTAGTGCACGTGAGAGGGCAGAAAAGGTATTGTGTTTTTGTGTTTAAAAAAGTGAGAAAAAAAAGGGAAGAGAGAGAAAAAGGGGGGCTGGGCTGGGCTAGTCTCTCTCTACAGGGGCCTTGTTTTCCTTCCCAATTAGCATAGATGCTGTCAAAAGCACCCTGCCACAGTTTTTGCAGTGAAAGAAAAGTGTGGGGGGACCCAAAATCTATATAGAAAAATATGCATAAAAACAACCCCACTAGAGCTGTGCAAAAGCTACTCTTCTTCGCCGTTAATTTTGTTTGTTGTTTTTTGAGTTGGGGTTTACAAGAAAATTGTTGAGTACCCTTTTGTTTCACATTTATATCTTTTCCTTATATATATATCGTTATATGTATTTTTAGTTCACGTACAATGCATATACCATGTGTGATGTGTCTCACTAAACATTGTAAAAAAATTAAAATTAAAATTAAAATTTAAGATATTCAAAAGTTTTGATGATTGCAAACTTTTAATCATGTGTTGTCTTTCATCATTATGTCAATGTGTGGTGGAGATTCAGGTGAGGTCTTACAATTGCTTTATCCAGTAGTCTTTTTGTTTTTTTTTAAATCTGAAAAAATTAATGCATTTGGTAATTATTAAAAAAAGTTTTTTTTTAATGTCTTTTCAAACTTATTTTTTTAATGAAAAATTGTCATATTATTTTATAGTATTGTGGAATCCTTGTAAAAGCACATTGAAATATCAGAAAATATTGAATGTAAAATCATCTTTTCACAAATTTGCTAAAAAATTTATTTATTTATTTATTTATAGAAAATAGAAATTAATTTGGCAAGAATAAATACCAAAAAATATATTTAAATTTTTAAAATTATTTCCTCCTCAAATACAGAAAAAATCATATGAAAATGATGATTTTTTTTTTTTTTGGCCAAATTATTATTTTTTAAATTAACAAAAAAGAGTCCTGAAATCCAAACCAAAAACAAGAGAACCCAATGGTTGTTAACCAACCAATATTTGTTTGATTATATATAATATGTTAGGGACTATTATTAGGATTAATAATAATGAAATCAGTTGTTTGTTTTTGGAAGAATTATAGCACAGATAGAGAAAAAAAAATATAACAAAAACATGTGAGTACAAGTGATTCTGTGATAAAGTACATGTGATGGAGTGCAAGTGTAATTTACACCCTTCCATATTTATGTATTAAAAAAAAATTGTAAATATTTATAATGGGACATAATTCCGGTGACAATATAATGAATAAAAATTGAGAGCTCTAATTTTAAAATTCGAAGGAGACTTCTAATGATGTGACAATGAGTGAGTCTCACATGTGAGGTGATGTATATATCTATGTTTTTATTTTTTATTTTTTTCCTCTTACTACATTATTAAAACTCTTTTTAAAATTTCAAAATTAAAAACTCTCTATTATTATTGCAATATAATTCCTCCATTGTTTTGTCACTCTTAGAGCAGCGAAATGAACCCACATGCACATCAATGTTTAGTCAATTGTCAAACTGCTATTTGACAATGAAAAATCACCAATATATTGAAGCACTCAAATTATTAGATATTGAAATAAAAATAAACAATGATTACTATGATGTTAATACATTATAAAGTTTGTTTAAATTAAAATGATTGATTTTTTTTTTTTTTGAGTTTATTTTTATGTAAATTGTACAATTCTTTCAAATTTCTTAATATGTGTCATCAAGGAACACATTAACAAAATTTTAGAATAAATTATAATTTAACTTTATTATTTTTTAATGATCATTTCTTAATAATAAATATTCATATAATGTTAATAAAAACGATGACAAAAAAACCAATGTACATGTCTGGTTTTAGTTTTTTAAAAAGTGAGGGCTTGTTTGGTTTATTTTTGGGAGAGTTGTTTTTGAAAAAAATTTAAGAAGAGAGTTTAAAAAAAAATTTGGTTTGTTTGGTTGTATATTTTGGGAGAGTTGTTTTTTTGAGAGTTTGGGATGATTTGATATTTTGAGAGAATTTGAGTAGATGTGTGTGAGAGAAAAAGTGATTGAGAGCGAGAGATGAGAGAGAAAAAGTGATTGATTGATGTGTAAGAGAGAGAAAGTGATTTTGAAAATTTTTTGAAAAAAACTCAAACCAAACAATTTTTAGAAATTTTTTTCTAAAACTCATCTCCCAAATGCAAATAAACAACAAAAATTTTAAGCATTTTTACTATTTACTATTTTGTTTTTCGTATTTTTTGTTTTTAGTAAATATTTTTAAAATTTTAAGCATTTTTTTAAAACTTTTTTAGATATACCTTACTTAGATATATCTAAATAGTAAGTTATTTGTGAAAAAATATTTTAAAAAATTAATAAATACACAAAAATACGAAAAATGTACTGAATTTTTATTTTTTTTTTATTTTTGGTATTTAGTAAATTTTTTACAGATTTTTTTCACAAATATTTACTTTCTAAATGTATTTATGTTAGGTGTCTCTAAAAATTGAAAAAAATACTTAAAATATTAAAAAAATTAGTGAAAATAAAAAAATACAGAAAATGAAAAAGTATAATTTTCTTAAAAGTGAATTTTAAAAATTAGAAACAGTGAAGGACAACAGGAATTGATACACACCATTGTTGACTCTAGTTTTGAGTTATTATCATCCCCTATCTTCCTCCCTGTAGGTGATATATAAGGATGGAGGGGGCAATCGTCTCACTACGATTTCAAAATTATAATTTATTATAATAGTATTAGTTATAATTATTTACATATTATAGAGGTCCCGTTTATTTTCAGAGGTAGAATGGAGGGAATTAAGAAAAATTGTGTTTGTTTTGATAATAGTTGTTAGTATAAGAATTGTTAAATTATTTTTTATATAAAATAATAAAGCAAATAAAAAATATAAAAAATTAAACATTAATATTTAAAAAAAAATTCCCCTTATAAAAAAAATTATAATCCCTTCACTATTTTTCTAATACCATCTCCACCTCCTCCATCTCAATACCCCTTCCAACCTCCATCTATATCACCTCCTCTATCCTAATCCCCTCCCCAACCTTACAAACAAACACAATACTAAATAACCCCACCTCCATCCTAATCCCCTCTCATTTATTTAACCCCAAAACAAACGAGGCCAGAGACTCATCCCCTTTACACTTTTCTTCTTTTAATATATATAAAAAAAAAAAAGACAAAAATAATATTAAAAAAATCTTTGTTATAACTATTGTTAATTACACATTCAAGTTCGTAGAGAATCGAATATGGTGTTAGTTGATTACTTAATTATGTTCATTGAAAACACATTATACAAGATTTTAATATCGATTCTATCATAGACATTTTTAATAACATGAACTAATGTTGAGCAGAACAATTTAAGATGCCTAACTTTAACTTATAGATTGTTTTATAATTGCTATTTTTTTGTGACTATGGATACAAAAAATATGTTATTTATATATATTTTCATCTTATTTTAACTTTTTAAACTAATAAAAATTAATACTATAATTGATACTTTCTTTTTAAAAAATTTTGTTAGTATATATAGGCTCACCCCCTATAAGAAAATTCTGGGTCGTCCATAGTGATATATAAGGGGCCATATTATGTTTATGTACTAAGAACTCGTATTTCAGCATCACAATTCTCCCATCAATGTAACAAAATTACCCATTTATAGAATTGCAATTCAAATAGATTTAGTCAAATTGAGAATTCGTCCAAGCTCAATTTGAAATGTAGAGAAACTTGTTCAAACCCA